TCCCCTTCTTCTTTTGCCCTCTATCGTTCCCAGCATTAGGCTCTTCTCCAGTGAGTCCTTCCTTCTCATGGGGGGGGGGGGGGGGGGCAAAGAGAAGGAAGGTTCTCCCTTTTCTATTACTTTGTCTATTTGTTGTCCCACCAGTTTATTATTAATTCCATATAACTCGGGAAATGACTGAATATGAGTTCACTGGGACATATAACATTCCTTCAAGTAGAAAAGCCAAATTCTGTTATTTCTTTAATGAGACCAAAGCTATGTATGTGATTATCTTGCTTTACATTCATTATAATTCTATAAGGAGCTGAAGCTTACAAATACTGACTTGCCTAAGGTCATCCGGTGACCAACAGAGATGACGGTTATCTCTGAATGGGTCTTTGTACTTCAGTCCTAGTTCACCACATTACAGTAGTAATATCCATAAATACGTTCTGCTCTTTACATTGAAATAACCATAGATTTCATTGCACATAAAACCTCAATGTATCAGTGAAATAATACTATGCAAAAAGAACTGAATTGCTGCAATTTTGACTAGGGATCAACCCACTAAAAACAAACCAAACATAATTTGTTCTCATAGATGAGCTTTCATTGGCATATTTCCTTCATCCTATTAGCAAACTTATCGTTTGGTTCCCAGAAGCACAAAATGGAAACAAAACAAAATCATTATTTTAAGTAGAGACCTCCCATAGGATAAACTATTCTAAACTGAAGGAGGAAAAGAACAACGATAATAAAAACATGAAGGATTTTTTGGGGAATCTTTCAGAAATTTACTGATGGGACACATTGTTGTTATTGCTCTGTTTTTGTAGCAATCACGACAGAACAGATTTCTATCCATATATGCAAATACAAAAATTATGGGAAAAGCCTTGAAGCCGCAGTGCCAGAAAGCTTTAAGAGACCCACGCTGGCTCCTTTAAAGCTGAGGTATAATTTTAAAATGTTTACAATGAAAGATCAAGCTTCTTACCCCATAGGATGCTGCGTTATGTAAAGGAATTAAACCTCCTTTGTCCTGTGCATTTACATCAGCGCCGTGCTGTAATAAGTACTCAGCAACTTCCAAATTGTTGTAACCAGCTAGGAGGGAGGAAGAACAAACACTTTTAATAAAGCATTCTGTATCCAACTAAACAATTACAATAAAAAGCATCACCCACTTATTTTCCTGCTTTCTGAACATTAAACCACAGCTACTTTTTTTCCCCAATGCAGGCAGCCATATGCAAGCAGCAGTCATATGGGGCGAAGCACAATGGCAGGATACATGTTTTTTTGCATTAAAATTTCCCTTTACCTCACCAGTAAGGAAAAACCAAGATCTAAGACCCTGGAAACCTGAAGCTTTTCAGAGTAGACAGATGCTGGAATACACTATATTATCCACATATATGACTCTTTAAGGTAAGCTTCGTATATCTCTAGGGACATTTTTCAAAATTAAAAGCCTGAAGTAGGGCTTTGACAATCAATAACAACAATTATTGCTATTAACACACTTATTTTGCTCAGCCCTTTATAATGACTTAACCAATACACTTGATGTTCTACTCCAGAATCCTACTGTATTCCATATGAGGATTGTGATACAGCAACATAGCTACATTTTTTAGAGAACTTACCTGCTAAATGGAGTGGAGTAGAATGCCGGCCTTGGGTATCACGGCAGTTAACATTATCAGGGGAACACAGTTTTTTCACCCTAGCCAAACATCCCTTCTTCGCAGCATCAAGCAAAGCTGCATCTCCTCTAAGGAGATCTTGAATATCTGTATCACCATCTTTAACAAGGTCTAACGGGGTATTTCCATCTCGGTTTTTCTTTGTAGGGTCAGCACCATGCTAATTTGGTAACAAATTGAAGAAAAAAAATAATTCCATTATAATGTACAACTCACCCTTTCCTTCTAGCATTTGTGCCACAACCTGCACAACTTAGATCATTTCCTCTACTCGTGTGAAACATTATAAATTAATTTGAATTTTACACACATACACACACACACGCACTCAACTAGATGTCACGGGATGAACTTTTCATAAAACATGCATTTCAAGCGACTTACCTGTAACAGTAGTTTACAAATTTCATATTTTCCTTTTGCTGCAGCTTCATGCAAAGGAGTGAATTTCCACAAATCAGCCACATTCACAACTGCACCATGTTTAACAAGAAGTTCTGCCACTTCATAGTGTCCATAAGAACAAGCATTGTGCAAAGGAACCAGGCCACTGAAATTTTTGAAGGAAAGCAGAAAACTTCAGTTTAAACTAATATTTTCAACACTCTAAAAAGAAGGCATAGTAATCTTCAAGAAAAATTATTAATCTGAAGTTTCAAATAATAGTATACTGAGGGACTAGGTCGGGGGTGTCAAACTCAATTTGATTGAGGGCTGCAGTTGACCTGGAAGGGGGGGGGCCACTGAGTGGGCACAGCCAGCTTAAAGCCACTCCCCAAACTGCTGGCATGTTCCCCTCTTTGCATTGGATAGACCGGGCTGATGTCACACTGGCCTGATGTTGCCTCTTCGCATTGGGTAAGCTGGGCTGAAGCGACATGGGGCAGCCCCTTACATTCTTCAGGATGGTCAGTCACATTAGAAACACAGCATACATGTCCGTGACCCGACAAATGCGCGAATGACAAAAGCGCGCCGACAAAACCGCGGCTCTAAAACCACAATCTCATCAACGCGCCGACAACAGCGCGCCAACAGAAGCGCGATTTAAGTTAAGTTAAGGTTAGGTTTAGGGTTACAGCGCGCTTCTGTCGGCGCGCTGTTGTCCGCGTGCTTCAGCGCTCATTCGTCGGCGCGCTTTAGAACTCGCGGTTTTGTCACCGCAGTTTAGTCAGGCACGCTTTTGTCGTTCGCGCATTTGTGGGTGAACCATACATGTCAACTGTTCAAGCAGTTATCACAACATATTTGAAGTGGGTATTAAAGAGTATTATGATAAAAGGGCAATATAATAGATACCATGTATCATGACAGAACCCAAATAAGTGGCGTAAGAAAGCGGATTCCCCATTCCTCTTTGTACAGATACCCAACACCTGCATTACAATGCATTTGTATCACTTTATAAATTTTCCAGCCACAATGTGCATCACAAGGAACCACTGAGAGTCGTTGCATATGAGATGGGCAGCAAATAAATAAATAACTGATTAACCTCACTCATAACTTTGTCATATATAGATAAAAAAGTTATATGCAGAGAGATGAAGCCTTAACTGCACAAAGCTTTATGCGTAAGATTTGTAATACAAGTATCTAAGAATATAGACCTTTAAGGCTTGCCATCCCTGGAAACAAATAAACAAACAGAGAATAAAAGTAAGCATTTTCAAATCAAATATGGGGTCGAATTTTTACCCTTTGTCTTTTGCGTGGACGTCAGCCCCATGCTGCAAAAGGTATTCAACTACAGACACTCTATTGTATCCTGCCGCAAAGTGAAGCGGTGTGGACTGGCGCCCTTCAATATCCCGGCAATTCACACTGTGTGTTGTGCATAATTTCTGTGGAATGCAAAAATTGAGGTGAACATTAATGGCAGAATCTCCCACCAAGTACATACTGAAAATTCCCTGTCAGGAAATCCAGCAGCGGGAGACTTGGGCACGGGTGTCCATGCGGGAGCTCCCCTCTTGCGGAACAACTGGCCCTCAGAGGCAGGGTTGGCTCCTTCCACGATCCTCTGAAGAATGAAGGAATGCATGAGATGTACAATGTTCGAGCAAGATGTAAGCACTATAGATGTATTCTACTAATCATGTATTCCTTGTTTTTAAAAGTAAAATGTTGATTCTTTTGCTGGCACTGAATTTTTTTAATTCACACGGAATTACTTAAGATTGAAGCAGCATAGACATTACAGCACCAAGTCTTCAATCCCCCTGCTTTATATTTCTGATACCATCAATACTAACTTAAAAGTCCAATCTGGAACATTGAATGAATTAATGCTTATACTTTAAAAAGACATCCCTCTGCTCCAAGTGTTGTTGTTATCACATTCCAGGAACACAGACAAGCACAAAAGCTATTCTGGAACACTAGATAGAAACCAAAAAGCTAACTAAAATCCTGGGGTGCCACTAAATAATTGAGGGAGCTTGTTTTGGTTATTTATCTTCTTCCCAGTTCCAAAGGTCCCCTTCCTCAAGAAAATCTCCCAACTCTCCTGAAAGTTTTTTTTAGAGAGCATGAAGGGAGTATATAGAGTAGAGAAAGTAAATGAGAAGCAGCCTCAGTTTAACCTTTTATTGTGAGAATATACTGGGAAAGAACTGCTCAGTTAACTTAGTTATTTAGTGATTCATTTTAACAGTGTAAACTGGACCTCAAGTGTACTAGAAAGCGGTATGCATACTCTTTAAATATGAACTGCTCTGAACAAGAACAGTTTTGAGACTGAAACAGGATATTCAATCATTCTGGAAGCATTTCAAGTTCAAAACATTTCATAACGAAACACTTTCAAAATGATTAAAAAAAAACCATTTGGGGTCTAAAAACTTTCAAATTTTGAGTACAAAGCCACATTAAACCTTAACCCATAGGAGTACAAAAATGACAAAAATGATTCTTATGCAGGCCAAGCATATGATTTTTAAAAGATTTTTTTTTTAGAGTTTCAGTCTATTGTCATTATCACCAATGTACAAGGTTTATCATATATCTTTATCACACTGACCATTCTCATCAGCATGTTTACATATATTTCTAAGACGATACAGTGAAGTCTTGGCGACTTTTTCTGACATCCAAGTCCATATTTGAATAAGCAAAGCCCTAACTGGAAAATTACAATTGTCCCAGTAATGCAAATGACCCCTTCCGAAGTCTACTAAGACCTGGCTGTTCCGGCAGGCCTGGGGCTGTTGACCTCATGAACGAGGTCCAGCCTCACTAAGATTGAGTGTATGATGTGTCTTTTTAATTTGTCTTCTATTTTAAATTTTTTAGTACTCTTTTTAGAATTATTTTACGTAAGCTGCCCGGTGTCCTTTGGAATTGGGCGGCATATAAATTTATTAAACTTTGAACTTTAAACTTTAGGTCATTTTGGGTCCCTTTTTTTTAAAAAAAATGCATTTTTCCAAAGCAGCTGAATTGGCCAATTACTGAGGGAGCAATGAAGATAGAAGTCTGTAGTTCGGCCTATAAATTCATTGTTTTAAATCTGAGATTGTTTCAAACTACTTAAGGTGCAGTGGAATTTGATTTTCAGTTTTTCTATCTCCAAAGATTTGAGGACAACCCAAACCGATTTGCTTTTCTTGTTAGATGTTAACTTTTTTCTGCAACAATCAAATTGTCTTTACCTTTACTGTCTCTACAT